TTCATTTTGGATTAGGGTTAGGATTTTGGTTAGGGTTGGGGTTAGAGTTAGGGTTAGAGTTGTGGTTAGGGTTCGGGTTAGTTTTAGGGTTAGGATTAGGGTAAGGGTTAGGGTTGGGGTTGGGATTATGGTTAGAGTTAGAGGGATAAAGTTGTGGTTAGGGTTAGGGTTAGTTTTAGGGTTAGTATTGAGATTAGGGTAAGGGTTAAGGTTAGGGTTAGGTTTGTGATTAGGGTTAGGGTTGAGGTTAGGTTTAGCGTTGGAATTACATGTTGTAAAACTGTTTGTCTTGACTTAGTAAGTTCTAATTCAAACGTCTGAGTGTGCTGGAATGGGGATCTGGAATTTGTCCACTTGTAATTTTCTAGGGGTGGGGTGTGGAGCTAAAAGGGTTAAGTCTTGTTTAAATGCCTTGTAGTAATTATTATGTTGTATGTGCTTAGTGGTGTGTATATATATATATATATATATATATATATATATATATATATATATATATATATATAATAAGATTTAAAATAAAATCTATAACATGTAAAAAAAGAAGAATGTCTGTAGATGGTTAAGAGACCATTTGACCCCCACGCAAATTGTTTAGCGATGACTGGGACACGGATATTATTTGAAAGTCCACTATCCTCCCACCCCCCCCCCCCCCAAACAAACAAAAATATTTAACTGCAGGAGGCACTTAAGGTGTCTGAGCCGCCAGATGCTGGCGCCTCTAGATGTTAGTGTTGTCAATTTCTGAACTTAGTAAGTTCTAATTCCAACGTCTGAGTGTGCTGGAATGAGGATCTGGAATTTGCCTTGTGGAAATGACATCCAAGATCTAGCTCACTGGGTCGCAGGCGGCAGCAGCCAGAAAAGAAAATCAACAAGTTAGCAAAAACAATGTGTGCTTGGCTTGTGTTACTCTCTGCTGCCTTTGTGTGTTAAGTGCTGAGGCTCCAGTAGTTTACATTGTGTGACTCTCGTACCAGTCACTGTCTGAAAACCATGAACTTTTTTTTACGGAGATTGAACCATAGTACTCGGGGGTGCTGAAATAGTTTAACGCATACGCACACAAAAACTACCACATAAATCCATAACAATATGAATACATGTTTTATACAAGATTTAATACATATCTCATAGAACCATCTCTGGTGTTACAACATACATTAGCTAATTGTGGACCAAGTTAAAGTTAGTCGAATGTCCTATTGCAGGACAGGCTTAAGTCAGCGTTTCCCAACTGGTGAGCTTCATAGCTTCGCGTGCACTTCCCAGGGATGTAAATAAAAATTCAATGAACTGAAGAAACGACCAGTCAGCGAGGTTTGGGGTGACTTGAAAGAGATACGTATCAGTCGAACAGGTCTACCAAAGTCGTACAACAAATGGATAAATCGGATAAGGTCACCGTGCTTTTGGTTCTAATGGTATGTGTTGGCTACCATGACGACCATCTTCTTTACAGACCACAGCCAATTAGTACAGCAGGGGGTGAAATAATTATTTGTTCCTTTGTTAAGTCACCGGCATAAATACACACAAATCCTAGTCATGAACACAGACAAATAACAATCATGGTCATAAACAAAACAAAAATCAATCATGAACACTCAAATATTATTCTCATAAAGGCAGAATATCACAATTATGAACACAGAATATCTTAACTACGAACACTGAATATCACAATTATTAACACATAAAAATTCAATCATCATCATCAGCATGTGTCTACTGGCGTGGGCGATCATGCCTCTCCACAATCCGCGATCTCCTGCAGCATGTAATCCAATCATAACAACAACATATCACAATCATGAACACAAAACACCCCAGTCGAGCGCTGTATTAAGTTAACCATGATTTACGGAAGTAAATCAACAACTTACAACTCTTTAGCTAGCACAAACTCAGTAAAAGCTGCAGCGACGTAGCTCTGTTAAAGTTAGACGTGAACCTGGTGCATAAGGTGACTTGAAGTCGTCTGAAAAGAAACTCACTTTCCCGCTTGCCCGCGTCAGAAGTAGACAAACAATCAGCAATGTTTGCTCACATCGGTGAGAAGGGTGAAAACTGGAGTACGTCAAGACAACAAGAAAGTTGTAGGGGAAGAGAGGCAGAGGATGGTCAGGAGAGAAGATGCTGGACAGTCTGGCACCATAGTAAAACGGAATATATGTGTCAGAAAGCACTGACAGTACACAAGATAGAATGATGTGGATAGACACGACTACCGAAACTGCACGGCATGAATGCAAGGAAAAAAACACAGAATACTACATCGTGGACAAAAAGTACCATAGTCATGTACATTAAATTTCTTTATCATCAACAGAAAAATAGCACTACCATGATGTTTACAAAAATACCACAGTTTTGACGGTCTCACAATCAAAAATCTTCATACAGACATTTCACTGGCAGTCCTAACACATCAGTTCCTATTCCAACAATCTAACAGCCCCACTTTTGTGCAATCATCTCAGAGGTGGTCAGAGGGCTCTTCATCCAGGCAATGACCTGGGCAGGTGTGACCAACCAGACGTCCTTACGTGACTTCAGAATATCTTGGAACATGATGTTTACAAAAATACCACAGTTTTGACGGTCTCACAATCAAAAATCTTCATACAGACATTTCACTGGCAGTCCTAACACATCAGTTCCTATTCCAACAATCTAACAGCCCCACTTTTGTGCAATCATCTCAGAGGTGGTCAGAGGGCTCTTCATCCAGGCAATGACCTGGGCAGGTGTGACCAACCAGACGTCCTTACGTGACTTCAGAATATCTTGGAACCACCTGGCTAAAGCCAGGTAAGAGTTGCGGTAATTTGTGAACAAAGATCCATGTGTGAATATCGGCATGGGAACTTTAACTGGGTAAAAGTATTGTTGGAAGTTTCGGCTGAAAGAAAGAGAAATGTAAGGTAATTATGTAAATAAAGAATTGCCAAAGGGTTAGTGTAGCTTGCAATATGAGATGTATCTATAAAACTGTATGTATGCCTGCCTGTCTGTCTGCTCTTAATTCCATCTTTCAATTAATATGTCTATAAACTCCTCCATTCATCTGCTTAAATATCGATCCATCCATCCCCTCTCACCCCAACCTAAACATTCATCCATCCATACATCCACCTACCTACGTATGTGTCTGTTCGTTTGTTTGCTGTCTGTCTGTCAGTCTAACTGTCTAGCTGTTTGTCTTGTCGCTCACCTGGGTCCGCTGATGTCGTGCTTTCATGCCACTGTCTTATTTTATGCAACACTGTCTCTTTCTGACTGTCCCTTCTACAGTCGGGATAGGGCTTCTTAATAGCATCAATTTTCTTCACTGCACTTTTTCTCAGAACATACTACATATTCAGAGTGCATGAAGGGTCATGTGATGCATCGTTTGGCTCTTGCAGTATATGGATGTGTTTTATATGCTACCCATGAAAATTATACATTCACTCAAGTGAACTGAGGATCCGAAGGTGATGGATCCAGGTTCTGTCAGAGCAAGACATTTTTTACCAAAAAATTACCTTGGCTCTCAGGTCGACTCAGCGCTAAATGGGGACCAGGTAAAGTCATTGAAGTAAATTCTGCCGTCTTGATGTTAACAACATCACCTGCCGAGTGCAGATTGATCTATAAAACATTGGTCTGGCACTATATGCCGAATACGCCAGAAGACGTGGAAAAGGGTCTTTCACCTTTTTTTGTTTAACCAAAGTAAACTAACCTTTTCTACTATTTGGGGCGTACTGGATATATGGTCATATGTAAGTAAGTATACCTTTTTCCTACGTCTCAGGGCATACTGTGTATATGGGGATAGGTAAATAAGAAAACAACCGGTTTCCAAATCTTGGCACTTACTGTGTATATGGCGATATGTAAGAAAGTTAACTACTCTTTTTTACGACTTGGAACTTACCGGGTATATGGTGAGGTGTAAGTAAGTAAACTACCCTTTTCCAAGACTTGAGACTTACTGGGTATATGGTGAGGTGTGAGTAAGTAAACTACCCTTTTCCAAGACTTGAGACTTACTGGGTATATGGTGAGGTGTAAGTAAGTAAACTACCCTTTTCCAAGACTTGAGACTTACTGGGTATATATATGGTGAGGTGTAAATAAGTAAACTACCCTTTTCCAAGACTTGAGACTTACTGGGTATATGGTGAGGTGTGAGTAAGTAAACTACGCTTTTCCACGACTTTAGGACCTCGTTCATACAGTGCTAGATTTTTTTAATAGACCAATTGACTGTTGACTTGCGGCCACCTTTACTTCCTAGGACATTCCTTGTGCCCATTTTAGACTGAGCCAACCAAGGCAAGGTCACTTTTGGAGGGGAAATCGGCCTCGATATTGGTTAGAACTGTAAACCTTCGGGTCGACAAGCTTCCCCCGGTTCCCTATTAGGGACAGCTCCATATCACGAACCAGTGACGACTCGAAGAAAGATATGGTGACGACCCCTTTTACTTCCCAGAAAATTTCCTAGCACCTATTGTGTTAAATGTAAAATCGGATTACCAGCATCATCATCATCAGGTGCCTTGCTGACTGGCTGAGGGCGATCATGCCTCTCCATAATCTGCGATCTCCTGCAGCATGTATCAGTTCATGTGCCGACACACCTCCATGCAATGCAACAAGACTGTCAAGCATCTTCTCTCGTTGTCTTCTTCTATTCCTCGTTCCACAGATCTTTCCAGTGGTCACAATATGTTCTATTTTCCCTCCTCTCATAACATGGCCGAAAAATGATGATATAAATTGACATCTTTGTGCTGGTCATTTTATTTTATTACCAGCATAAAGATGTCAATTTATAAACATAAATGTCGCCTCTAGAAGTAAAACCAGCAGACAATATATTTCTTGTGTCTAGTAACTGCCAACTACCGATACGACTTTTAACAATTTTGTTCTCTCTCACGAAACTAGCCATGCCTGAATACTGATATGCTCCGTGTACTACTCACTTGTAAAAGTTGTACCATTGCTGTTCTGTGGCCGACCAAGGACTCAGACCAACATTGCAGTCATCGATCATGCTGCAACCTTGGTTGTTGTCGCCAATCCAGCCATTTAGGGGAACCTCCCAAAGGCCGGGGTAGGGTTTCGTTGGGCAAGGCGGATTGATGCATCTGAAAGATTCGTCATTCAAAAAAACAAAAACAATATCACGTAACGGAGACGGACGTTATGAGTTGTGAACAACACTGGCATTAGCATGCTCATTTCAATTGGCTCGTTATTTTAGTTAATATAATCTAGGATGAGGGAGGGGAAGAAAGGGGAAAAGGATGAGTAGAAAAAGACGACGGTAGCGAAATGGACGCAATAGTAGAAGCCGTTGATGAAAGAGGATGTGGAAGAAGATGGAGAAGAGGATAAAGCGCTGTAAGAAATTTTGAGGCAGAGTAGGAGAGAAGAAAATTTATGAAAATAAAACGACAGATATAAGAGAAAGTGTTTTCTGTGATCATAAAGTGAGAAAAGAGGCCTCAGGAATCATAGTGACGACCGGAAAGATCAGATGTTGAAGAGGCAGAATCAGACCGTGACAAATGATATTAAATTATCTGAGATTTCGTTGCACAGAATATCACAAATATACTTGATTTGGTATATATCGTTTAGGTGCTAATGATGGTGGTGATGATGAAGTTGATGAAGGTAACTGAAAGTTCAAGCTACGCCTTAACAATGCTGAAACCATTAATTCAAAACTATATTATGTTCTAAGTCGGCTCTGTGGCTAAGTCGATGCGAACTAATTCTGGGATGCCGGGTTTGATCCCAGCTGCAGGCCATGCGCCTTGCGTTGGTTTCGACAGTGGTATCAAGAAAGCCGACCGTCCATAAAGCAAAGGCAAACTCCTGGACGTTAATTTGCCTAGAAAAACCACACAACAGCCAGGGGCTGTTGGAGTTGGTTCTGCAACGTCCTGTAAAGAATACGCAACTAACCAATTATGTTCTAAAACTCACTCTCCCATGACAAAATCAAGCGTGAAAGGCCAATGTGGTACTTTCCCCTGTAGAATGTTGATGTTCAGAATGGACGTGTCGTAGTGGAAAGCAAAGTCACGTAGGACGTCGAACTGTACATCGCCGGCTACACGTAGATAGGGAGCTCGAAAGCCACAGATGGAATCTACGAGTGTCTTATTTCCTGTTGCCTTCTGAACCTCATCCTTCAACCCTTGAATCTGTTATAGTGAGGTAGATAAATATACATTAACTTTAGACTGGGAGACATATACGTGTATCTTAACTTTACAAATGGGACACGCATATAAAGTAAAGAATGTCTTTATATCAAAATGTATTCTTACTTTGCAAATGAGATGACTAAATATGTCTACATCTCAACTTTACATTCCAAGATTTACAAATGACATTACTTTACAGTATAGGGCATGTCAATTATGTTTTTAAGTTACAATGAGATTTAAAAACTATGTCCTAACTTTACATTGTGAGATAAAGAAATATTGAAAGCTGCGATCTAAGATAGAAGATATTTTATCATTTTATAATTAAAAGTAAAGTATAGGCCCCTTTTTACCGCCTTCTGGTGTACGGACATATAGGTCTAGACATATATTTTATTCTAATCGGCACTTGGTAGGTGATGTCAGTCCAGTGGCCTCCGGTCAGTCGCCTTTGCCTCCCAGAACTTCACCTGATACCCACTCAAGGCTGGGTCGACCTGGTAGCCAAGGTTTTTTTTTTTTAAGTCCGGTTCTGTTCAGACTCGAACCCACGACAATCGGATCCTCAGTCGAGAGTTTAGTCGTTAAACCATAAATGCTTCCTAATTGTACAATTCAGCTAATAAAAAGTATCATCATGTAGCAGGTCCTTTGCAGCAGGTCGCTCTCATCCCGAACTGTCTCAATGAGAATCGGTCGAGTTTCGCCTTTGGCTTCCATGGTAACTTTCCCCTTGCTTTCCACATCCACATAGTTTTAGACTGTCCTCGGCCTCTGGCACCCTTCGAAAAAAAGAAATTAAATATGCTTTCAATAACTGCACAATCCACGAGTACTAGGGTGTGTTTTTCGCGGTGAATATGGTTGTTATTTTTTTAACGTTTTCGTGGCTTTTGGATAGCATTACGAGAGTCGCACTGTGGAAGAGGTTCGCACCTCACTAAGCAATATTTCTAAAGGCATCTGTAGCCGAACGTTACCATGGTGACAGCACGGATAATTTTTTTAAACTTCTAAATTATGCAATGTATATAAGCAGGAGATAGGTAAAGAATCTTGTGATGTAATATTGCTAAGTGTGTCACGTGAGAAGACGAATGCCTGCTTACCTCTGCAACCATCTCAGGATAGTTTACCCAGTTTCTACTGGGCTTACACTGTAGCCCATGTATCCAGTTTCTACTGGGCTTACACGGTAGTCCATGTACCCAGTTTTTACTGGGCTTACACGGTAGCCCATGTACCCAGTTTCTACTGGTCTTACACGGTAGCCCATGTACCCAGTTTCTTCTGGGCTTACACTGTAGCCCATGTATCCAGTTTCTACTGGGCTTACACGGTAGTCCATGTACCCAGTTTCTACTGGGCTTACACGGTAGCCCATGTACCCAGTTTTTACTGGGCTTACACGGTAGCCCATGTACCTAGTTTCTACTGGTCTTACATGGTAGCCCATGTACCCAGTTTCTACTGGGCTTACATGGTAGCCCATGTACCCAGTTTCTACTGGTCTTACATGGTAGCCCATGTACCCAGTTTCTACTGGTCTTACACGGTAGCCCATGTACCCAGTTTCTACTGGTCTTACACGGTAGCCCATGTACCCAGTTTCTTCTGGGCTTACACTGTAGCCCATGTATCCAGTTTCTACTGGGCTTACATGGTAGCCCATGTACCCAGTTTCGACTGGGCTTACATGGTAGCCCATGTACTCAGTTTCTACTGGGCTTACATGGTAGCCCATGTACCCAGTTTCTACTGGTCTTACATGGTAGCCCATGTATCCAGTTTCTACTGGGCTTACACTGTAGCCTATGCACATTTTTAAAAAATCTGTTAGATAAGAATTCAAACGTCTGATCTCTGGGCAAGCCACACTGCACTACATGGGTACCTGTCTGTTATAATATGAAAATTTAATGAAAATAATTTTGCGAACTTTATAAAAGAAGAGACACCACTTCTTGCTTTTAACTGTTACTGACATGTTTGATGATTACATAACTTAAATTTTTCTATCTATTGTTCCTTGTAATTTATTCTTCTTTCCGTTACTTCTATGAGTACAGATCAACAGCCAACTCCAATTTTTATTTTCCAATGCAGATTGAAAGTGAAGAAAACGAGTAAGAAATTTGATTGTGGAAAAAAAAAGGTAACGGTAAAGTCAGGAGATGTGAACCAGCGTCATTGCACACGGTTATAAACCATAAGTGCTCTGCCACCAGTACGGACAGCTGATTAGGATTGTCCGCCTGTGTCGCCGTTCGCACGTAACTCTGTGGCTACAGGGACGTTCCTCCATTTACCCCAGAGTGTCGACTCTGGTACCCATTTCCTAGAGGCTGGGTGAAACCCGGGAACCGCCCGGTTTCGAACACCGACCGTGGGCTGCAGTGAGTTGCAGCTGGATTTGAAAGCGAGCCTCTTATCGACTGCGCTAAGGCTGCCCCCGAAATACGGTCAGCAATACAATGGCTGGAGAAAGGAAAGGCCCTAACGCTGAGACGATATGTGCGTGTGCGTTGTGGGTGGACTATTAGGAAATCATTAAACTATGCCTTTGACGATATGTGCGTGTGCGTTGTGGGTGGACTATTAGGAAATCATTAAACTATGCCTTTGAACTCAAATGTTACAAGAAAATTTTTACAGTATTGTGAACCCAGATCAGGCGACGAAATGTCATAGTTCTCCTTCCACTTCTAGACTTCGATATTGTTCCATAACCTGCGTTTGGCGTGGTAATCAAATTCACAGATACAGCTTTTTTTTTGGGTGTCCCCCCCCCCCCCCCCCCCCCCCCCCCGATGTTTGTTCCTTTCCTCTCAGGCAGATGTATTTTGTCCTCAAAGGAAACACTCCTAGGTAATTGCCTCTTACAAAATGCTTGTTAGGAGTCAGTGGGTCTATTGTTTTTCCTCAAAATGGGGCTCCGGGACCCACAAAAGGTTCCAAAGCAGATATCACTTCTGACACCCGTTTTTGTTCGCCAAGGACAATCTAATCAGAACTAGTTTAGGCAAGATGTATGCTACCAGTGTGAGACATTGGCCCTTACTCAAACAAACAAATGTAAAAAAATAACAATAGAGAGGGGATGTCATGGAGGATTGCACGAAGAAACAAATAGAACAAACAGAATGCCAGGACTAAAACCAGTCACGCAGTTAATTAAAGAGTAAAAGATAAGATGGTTTAGCCATCTGAAGAAAAAAGTTCCGGTACCAACTGCCAGAGATATCCACGCTGAAGAAATATAACGGATACAGAGCACAGGGGTAACCACGCCGAAGATGGGCGATAGCATCAAAAACAGCCTTGAAGAAATGCAGACCAGCTTATGAAATGCATTGAAAAGAGCCCATAGAAGATCCTTAAACCTTCCCTAAACACCTCGATAAGCAGCTGGGGAAAGTAAAGAAGAAGCTGTGTGTTGGCCAGATTCTCTAATCACATTCACCTACCCCTCCCTCTGCAGACAATACTTATCATTACCCACACAGGACTAAGCGTCACACAGGGCTAGTGTGTCCTTAGGAATAATAAGCCAATTATTTATTTAAAGGTTGAACAAGATCTATGGGATTTACCCTGTTGATCTGCCATCAAGACTAAGATTTCCAAATCTCAGGCTGATCAAACTTTCAGACAGCAGCCTAGAGAGAGGAAGGTACTTCCTTCTGCATATTTTGGTCTTGTTTCTTGTTAAATAGTTTGGTATTTGTAGCATATAAGGTACTCACTTGGTACGACAACCACTGGGGTTGTACAGCTGGAAGTCGTTGTCAACCAGGAGAGCCCGGTAATAGGAACTGTATAGGGAGCTGGTCACGGCGTCATCAAAGGTCAGCATGACAAACATAGGTATGTCCGCGAGGGCAATGTCTGACGGGACGTCCCTGAAGCAAAAGCAGTCTGGCAGCTTGCAGTTGCTACTGTTGCATGGTCCGGTTGGGGTGGGTTTAGGAGAAAGAGATACTGGTCGCCATGTTGTGGTAGTCTCGTAACTCGTTTGAGGTCCTGGGTGGACTGTTGTCTCTGGCACTGCAGCTGTGAAGTATTTGATATTGACATCTCTTCAGTTTATTTATCTGCGTTAACCAAAGCATTAATTTTTTATGTCACAGAAGACCACTGCTGATGACACAAAGATGGTGAAAAAAAATGAAATCAAAATAACAAGAGGTTAGGTTAGTTGCGTATCCTTTACAGGACGTTGCAGAACCAACCCCAACAGCCCCTGGCTGTTGTGTGGTTTTTCTAGTCAAATTTACTTCCAGTAGTTTGCCATTGCTTCTGGACGGTCGGCTTTCTTGATACCACTGTCGAAACGAACGCAAGGCGCATTGCCCGCAGCTGGGATCGAACCCGGCATCCCGGCATTACGAAGCGAAGCCACAGAGCCGACAAATAACCAGAGAAACTCCGATAATTGGCAACAAACATGTTGCCAGGCTTATGTACCATGATCTAACTAAATGTAAGAAATACATTCATACATGTCACTTGTCACTTCTGTGAAGAATATCCCAAGGCATGTGCGAAGAGCAGACAGCTTTGGGCATTTTTAAAGGTGATAATTGTTAGCAATACAATTTTCTAGAACAACTCTGAGAATGTTTATTGACCATGAAGATGGTAAAATTCAAACTTGGCAAGTAAGTTTTTAAAAAAAAAAAAAAGTAGAAAAACAGTGATTTTTAAAGGATTTAATATTTTAATACTTGAAATTAACTGAAGGTTTTTAAATAAAAGTAAACAACGATGGAAAAAAAAAAATGGAACGAACAGTAATGGCCAAACAGACTTGACTTGTGACAAACATGTAGCTACAAAGATAATATAGGGATATTTTAGCCGCCCAACTCGTCGCATCTCAATAGCAATCCCTACAAAGAAACTACCCTTTCCCCACAAAAACATTGTTAATAGAATTTTTCAGCTATTTGTACGAATGTGTTTGAACACTTTCTTTTTTACTGATATTACTTGCGTGCTCCCCAGAAAAGACTGAAGTGCTAATGGGTGCATCAGTACGTGCAGAAAAGGTGATGCCTCGTAAGCCAGACCAGTCGCGCATGGAAATGAGAAGCAGCAACGAAAATCAGAATCTGTTTTAATTACTATTTATCACTGGCATCATGAGAGCTAACAGAATTATATCCCTTGGGCATATAGAGAGAATTACAGGTGACAGAGAGACACAAGGTACACAGGGAGGTTGAACAGCCGAAGACCACGTGACAGACTGAAAACGGTGGAAAGATCAAATTCAGGCAGACTACAAGCACTTGCAGTCCCCAGCTGGACAGAGAGTGCTAGTCACATGGATGACTTTGGACGGGTGATATCTGCAGCAATGAACCTTATGACTTGGGACGAGTGATATCTGCAGCACTGAACCTCATAACTTGGGACGGGTGATATCTGCAGCAATTAACCTCAAGGCGTTCAGAATGTTGAAGAAGAAGAAGAAAGCCAATCGTTGAGTGAATATTTAATCATTACCTCTTTCTGTCGCAAGCTGCAAACCATGCATTAGTGGCTATGTTGTACATTTTCAATGGTCTTCCTTCGACTTTGGAGTGCATTTACATGAGAGGCATGGAAACAACAGTATACATACAGAATTGTTAGATCTGTGAAACTGATGTGCACGCAAAACTCAAGTTCTCGTATAAGACTAACGTCTAGAAGTGGACAAACAACTAGAACAACCCGTGAACGCCGAGAAGAAAAGGAAGATGTATGTACCAGTCAACAAAGAGAACTAGAATGGAAGCCTCGGTAAGTTCAATGATATTTTCTCCTAACATGTACACTACGTGGCGACTGGTCGAGCAATGCGGCCCTGTACTCTAGGGTTCAGTACTCCCACCCCCCCCCCTCCCCCACCCACATACACACACTCAAACCCATTTTACAGTATACATAAAAAGATGTATTTTCCGATAATAAAAACAGTTTTAAACTAATCATCGTGTTATATATGTTACATCTTACATGTGGGTCAAGGATCAGACAGAACTCAGACAGTGTTTGTTTCTTTCAATGTCTGTGTGTTTGGTCCTTGTGGAAATAGCAGACCTGTGCGTTTATTCTTGTCATGTCATTGCCTATCTGGGCCATTAGGCGTGACTGCCTGGCACTGACACAGCTGGTTAGTGAAACAGACAGAAATGAGGAGAACGTTACTTACTACCAATAGTGCCTGTAGGGGTTTCAGGCAGACGACAAGTTGCCAGCTGCGGCCAGTTGCACGAGTCGGTAGATGTATCGAATCTAGTGGATGACAAGTATAATATTATAGATCAGTGGATTCCAATAGATAGTCCACGAACGCCTTGGATCCGCGGGGAAAATCAAAGTGATCCGTGATATTGTGTTGACGAAAAAACCTTAGCTCCTAATTTTACCATTTTAACTCTTAAAATATATATATATAACTATTATTAAGTATTAGGTCCGTGGCAGACCTTCGAAAAATAGAGGGGGTCCATCAATTTTAAATAATTGGGAACCACTGCTATAGATGGGGGGGGGGGAGGGGGGCGTAAACTGGCGTACAAGTCAAACCTGTGTACAACTCGAACAGGCGTACAAGTCGAAAAAGTTTACAAATCGAATAGGCATACAAGTCAATCTCACATTTTTAATTCAAAATTCTTAGTTACGTTTAAATTTATTTACACATTTGTATACCCACCATATAAGTCGACCGCTAGTTTTAGAAAGATTTTTTCAGGTTTGAAAACTCGACCTGTACACCGTTGTTTGTAGGTAAATTTTATGGTATGCCGTAGAAAATCGTGTAAGCGTTCTTTTTCCTCTAAAAACATTATTCCTCTGTCTGCTGATTTGCTCAGTGTCTGACTGTGCTCTGTGTGGATTTGTCAAGCAGTCCAATATTTTCGCCTTCTGTTGAGCTAGCTTTAAATACTTTATACATACTAATTTATCCAGTATAGATGAGATAAACATATAAGAAATGCGGTGGCAAAAACAAGAGGTGACAGAGTCACCAATGAAGAACTTAGAACAACAGTAGGCACAGTATCGATAAGGAATTTCATACAGCATCCAAGAATCGAACGGTTTTGTCATCTGGTCAGAATGGAACAAAATCACCCAGCAGCTAGAACGTATTACATGGGAACAGCAGGCTACAAAGCAGGAGGCAGACCTATACAGAGACGGGCTTATGGATTAAAAGAGACGATACAGAAACACACCCTAACATTAACACAAGTTACACAACTAGCAAAAAGACAGGAACTACATCTAACTCCTCTCTCTGAAGCTCTGCGGCGTATGCAGCAGGACAAAGAAGAAGAGGTTGCTTAGAAGATGCAAATGAAATATGCAACAACCTAAAACGCAAATATAAGGAAGAAATAAAATGTTTCGTTGACCATAAATAGAGAAGTAAAGCAATGAAGAACATTGCGACGACTGGATCTCGCCTTTTTAACACATTTAACAGGTAAGATCACAGCAACGAGACATTGCTATTATAGCAAAAAAGTACCATTACCTGAGTCCAGACTGACAGTACTGTATGTGCACCACTCCAAAACTGCAGGTGACAAACCTTTGACCCAGATCAGACTGCGACTCCCCGCTCATCAATGAAGCACACGCTCTTTGATCATGCTTCAGATTTCTCGGACCTTCACTGGTCATGGCACCATAACAGCTATTTGGCTGGGCGCCTGTGCCAGAAAATAAAACTACTGATAGAAATATGAGCACGCTCACTAACTTCACCTCCATGTTTTCTTTTACTTTTCCCCTATAATTTATGCAAAAATTATATTCTTTTTCTTTGGATATTGCCAAAGATTCTGCCAAAGATTCGTATTATCTGGAGGTTAAATTTAGAATAGATACTCTTGTTCAGAACTAATGGCGCTGCAGCCACTGACATCTGAACAATTCTAGGTTATATTTATATGCATCAGAAACGGCAGTCGCGGATTCATCACGCACAATAGAACTGCAGAATTCCAACAGTTATAAATAACACAATATCATCAAGAGCATGTCTAAACTGCGAAGGTGTGTCTATGTGTAATTTAGGACCTGTGTTAATAGGAGATCTCTGATAAGTTAGTGAAAACGTATGGGTGGGGATTTAAATTTAATCAACATTTACCATGCCTGCTGACTCAGTGTCGATCCTGGTGGCTATATATTTTCAACAAAAACATGAGGATAGTAAAACGCATTCTATTTATATACAGTGGCGTCGAAACCTAGGGTCTCATTTTCTACCCCCCCCCCCCACAATAAATTATATGGCGACTCTGACCCCTCCAACCCACCCCTGAAATGTCCACTCCCTCCCCCAAGTGGCAGGGGTTGGTGGTGTTAAGCTGCTTTAGCCCTGAATGTAAGTTCTCATTTTTTTAAAGTTTGTGTTTATACATACATTATGTTAAATATATTATCATATTTTGTCACCATGCAGCAGACAATAATAATAATAAATAATGATTTAACATTGTTAATCACATACTTGTGTGAACATCACCACCTACACCCCCCCCCCCCCCTCCCCTAAAAAGTTTTCTGTTTTTCAACGCCCCTGTAACAGTTAACAATCTAACAGATGGTTGAAATGTCATGTCCTGTTTGTATTTACTGTTTTCTGTCCACATACTTCATAACATTTGAAATACAGTGGAGCTCTAATATGCATAAAAAGTTCGTTCCTGACGGGAATATTTAAAAAACACGATATCAGACGAGTTTTTCGCGTAGGAATTAAGTTAACAATGGTTTAATCCGCTCCACGCCACAAATATTTCCTGTCTATTCTATACCAATAAAATGCCATTCTAAATCGATCTCAGAAATCAATGCAAATACATTTTAATTATACATTCATTAATCGCTGTACTTATTATTGCTTGAACATCGTGCCTGAAATTTACTCGTTCTGATGACACAAATTTACTGCAGGCCTACATAAACAACATTTTTAACAGAAATGTACTTGTTTCCATCAGGAGGAAAAAGATAACATTGGCTCTTGCTTGGAAGGGGGTCATATTCCCATTATGACATCAGGTAGTATTGTGACTGGTGTCCTGGTGATTCTACAGTATTTTTAGACGATTCACAAATTATCCAAATTTGTTTCTTTTCTTCTGGTTTTTTTTTTTTTTTTTTTTTTTTTTTTTTTTTTTTTTTTTTTGTTCCTAAAGTGTCCAAACACATAGTCATTAATTGAATTTATACACTGTGAATTTATCGATGAAAATCTGCATATTTGCTCAAGTGGATGGCCATTGTTTGATCTCATCGCTTGAACAGGCCCATCATCATATTTTTTTCTTGTCTGTTGAGTCGATGGCCTTGTCTCTCTATCTGTTTTCTTTTACCACATCAGGACATCACACAAGCGATAAACACCCGATGACACAAAGTGCCACCATGCAAATGAGGATCACCCATGGAGAGGTCCCAGAAACCGCGTTTAGCCATTAGACCGTATTTATGACTGGGCTATATGCGGCTGCTGGCAAGAGCCAGAGTAGGGCTTCAAATACCGAAAATTGCATCCCGCAGAGGGACTAAGAATTATTTAACTGGCCTTGTCGGAGTGAGAGGCAAATATCAAATTAAAATTTTAACAAAAAATAACAATACGAATTTCAAAAAGAATTGACGTGAACGAAAATTGCAGTTGCACTGTATATTGTTATATTTGCCAACGTTAACTTATAAATTCTTATTATTAATAATACTGTGCAATTAAATATGGCTTTATGCAACACCGAAGTAAATTGGACAATCCTCATGCAGGTTGACACGTTTAAGTACTTGAGTACCTTGATAACATCAGATGGAAAATGTATTAAAGAAGTTAAACGTCAATTCTAATTTTTCAAAGTGGTTAAAAAAATGCGGAAAAGAGATGAGAGCTACAACCCCACTAAAATAATTAATGACAAGACAGGAATGCCATTGATAGATCCACCCGAGATAGCAGAAAGATGGAGGGAATACTTCAATGCGCTCTTCAATCCTCTAGGAGATAATCAGGAAAGAACAACTGAAGAGCACAGAGCAACAGTGTTAGAACCACACATACTAATGGATGAAATAGAAAAAGTCATTAAACAGTCTCCCAAATATAAAGCACCAGGAGCTGATAGATTACCAACAGAAAAAATTCAAGCAGCAGGTGAAAGCAGCATCAGATGACTTCACAGAATATTTAATGCAGCATGGGTACAACAAACGGCCTCTATTGATTGGCAGCATGCAATAGTTATACCATTGTGGAAGAACAAAGGAAGCAAACGAGAATGCGGTCAATATCAAGGCATCTCTCTTTTAAGCCATGTAGTCAAAATGTATGCCAAAATAATACAAACAAGACTGAGACCAGTGATAGAACCACAGCTGGCAGAAGAACAGATGGGATTTAGGAGAAATAGAAGCTGGACAGATGCAATCTTCACACTTAAACAGTTAATAGAAAAGAACATTGAATACAATAAGAACTTATTTGTGGCATTCGTAGACCAGGAGAAGGCATTTGACAGAGTCGACAGACAATTATTATGGAAAATAATGGCAAGATATGGAGTAAGCGAACACCTCATCGAAGTGTGCAAAAGTTTATACAGGGATTGTAGAAGTGTAGTTAGAATAAATCAGGGAACATCTCATCCTTTCACAGTGACATCTGGAGTAAGACAGGGGTGTGTCTTATCACCACTGCTGTTTATCACCTACATCGACAGTATATGCAAGAATGCCAAGCCCATGAATGAAGATCTTAGTAAGATCAACGAATTACTCTTTGCAGATGACCAGGCCTTGATAGCAGATACAGCCATGAAATTGCAACAACATCTAACATCCATGAATGAAGAATGTAAAACAAATAATACGAGAATCAACACTGAAAAGACAGAAGTAATGTCAATAGGAAAAAAGAAGACAGATCTAAACATAGCAATAGAATACAAAGGCATTAAACAGGCATCTGAGTTTAAATATCTGGGAACTACATTTACCGAAGATGGGAAATTGGATAAAGAAATTGACATTAGATGAAGTAAAGCAAACCAAGTATTGGGACAGCTAGCCCCCCTCTTACAGCATAAGACAATCCTAATCAGCACAAAGAGACATCTTATTCAAAGCATATTTATTCCAACTCTGTGCTACCAGTGCCAGACATGGTCACTCACAACAAACCATAAAAGAAAATTAGTAACCACGGAAATTAGATGTCTGAGAAGGGCTGTAGGCGTGACCATAAGAGATAAGATCAGGAATGAGATCATAAGAGAACAAGTCGGCACAGAACCAATTCTGGATTCCATACAAAGACAGCAAGTGAAATGGTTTGCCCACTTAGAGAGAATGCCTTGTGACACCATACCATACAAAGCATACATGGAAAGAGAAGAAGGACGTAGAGCACGGGGTAGACCAAGAACAATATGGAAGGATAACATCAGAGAAACTCTACAACAGCACGATGTGCCTATGGTCGAGGCAGCCAGAAGAGCTAGAAACAGAACCTTATATCTCCCTCGACACCCACAGCGGTAAAAGAGGAAGTGAAGAAGAGAAAGGAGAAGATGAACGTAGAATAGCTCAAGCAAAGGCAGCATTTTACAAAATGAAGAATATTCTATGCAATATTTCTTTGTCAGTTGAGACAAGAAAGATAATTTTTAAAAGCTTTATTCATCATATCTTGATATACGGATGTGAGTCATGGACAGTTGGTAGATTAGTGAAAAACTATTTAGAAGCTGCGGAGATGTGGTTTTATAGACGAAGTATAAGAATGCCTCGGACAAATTAAAAGAGTAAAGAAAGTGTCTTGAAAGTAACTAATACACAAGAAGAAGTGATTTCCCACAATAGAAAGAGACAATCTAGATTTTTTAGTCATGCAACGAGAAGAAGAAAACTGGAGTACATGGTGACAGTGGGAAAGTTGGAGGGGAAGAGAGGCAGAGGCAGACCGAGAGAAAAGATGACAGTTTGACATCATGGCATGGAAGATCATTTGTGTAGGAGATGTTTGAAAGTACACGAGACAGAAAGTTGTGAACAGACATGACTACCAAGGACTCACGGCGTGGACTTTTAAGAAGAAGAAGAAGCAGAAGTATATCATAGACTCCTTTATTCTTTTATATAAATAATAAAAAGGGAATTGGCACCCCTCCCCGCACTGCTTTCTTTGTGTTGAATCTCTTTGTATCCTGGGTAGTTCATTTTGACATTAACAAAAATTAACAAACGTCAGCAGAAGTGAGTGAATTGAGAGCTCGTTAATTAAATTGTCGACTTCCAATCTTCTCTGGAGGCGTGGGAGTGATTAGAAAGTTAGCCTGCTCGCCTGGTTGTGACGTGTTCAAACCTGAGTGATAGTCACCTACAGTATGCCCTATATTTCTTATGATACTGTTTTTGTTACCATCCTCGTGAAGCCGATTATCTCTTTTTGTTAAATACTTTTCATTGGGACCTGTAATATGCCGACACTATAGCATCGTCCGTGGCTAAGGCGTTGCGAGTCCGACTCGTAAGCCAGCATACCGCGATCGAAACCCACTGCAGGCTGCGTGGATTTTTGTCGTGGTATGGGGACGTCGCAGGTCGACCCAGCCTAAAATGGGTACCAGGATGGGCTGTCCTGGGAAAGTAAAGACAGCCGGCGTAATGCTGACCACATTACCCACAGAGTGCTGATGATCTGTAAAAATATGGGACGCTCTGCTCATATGCCCGAT